TATCTTACAGCGTTTTAAGTACTAAACTTTGCGCTTGAGGTTTTGTCTTGTTACGTTATAAGAGACCTTTTTTAAACAAAAAGAAAGCGGAATGTGGAAGTGTTATTTCCTAATCGAGTTTAATGTTTCTGAATCACGTTTCTAATTATTCTATCACAGCTCTTCAGTTTTAAATCACAATGCATGGGAATCATTACATATCGGACTTCACACCTTCACAAAATCAATGTCATATAATAAAATCTCAATTGACTAGAGCCGTTCCTAGCCACTTTAACGACACTCCCTCCAAAATGGTAACTTGGTAACAATCCCCAACAAGTTCCTAAGTAACTAAAATAGTAGTGGTAGTTTGTAGCGGATCTATGAGGTTTCTCACCATGACGACGGTCTGGAGGTCCCACTCAAAGAGCATGATGTGAGAGCAGCGCGGGACACTATGTAATGTAATGGTCCAGTAATTGCTCTCTTCGCAAGCTAATGTCGCACGATTGGTTGGAATCTTCTCAGCCCCATTTCTCAGCATTATTTAGTATTAGTCACATATTGCGGTGTGTCTCTGTTTCTTGTCTACTCAGATATCAGGTTGCACCTGTTCATTCCATTTAGAGACTGAGACCACGCTAGCTGGCTCTCTAAAACTCCAGAAATAGACAATACATGTGATGCTCCTTTTCATTTGGTTGCTCCTCGTTTCTCTGCTCGTTTTGGTGGAGTTGGAAGTGGTCCACGAACACACCAATGATTCCAGTCACTCTGAGTGTGCCCGTAAGTACTCCAGTGTTGTTATGATACAGTAAATATAATTAGATTGTAACAAACAATTGGAGTTGCTACTCTTAGTGTGGTGGGTGTAGTGTTACGGGGGGTCTATAGTAACATCTGGTGTGGGGGATGTAAACCACAGTGGTTTACTCAGACCTACATTGTCAGACCGTGAGAGGTGTGGGTTTCTGGGGATGATCGGTAAATGTTTTACAAAACATCATGGTGGTGTGTCCCAACCATGTGGAAACATGAGAGGGGTGTCCTTTATGAAATCATGATGCCTTGCTTTGTGCTGAAATTATATCATTTTGACACAAAAAACCATGATATTAAACATATTTATGTTTAATATCCGTATTTCCCAGTCCAGGGGGCGTATTTAATGGATTGGCTCCGATTCTGCATGCAGTGTTACTTTATTCAATTAAAGATAATTAGTAACATAGGGATTGTTCTAGAAGTCTAATTGATAGGAGGTATTGTGACCAGGATTTTCCTAATTAGTTCAATTTCCTGCTTCCACCTCTAAATAGGTGTTACCCCCTGCATGGGCCCCAATCTGAACCAGTATCAAGTAGCAGCTGACCCAATTATTTTCATTGTTACACAGTTCAAATAAGAACTGAAACTCATCCATACCCTCATTAATACTTCATTTACATCGCCTTAATCTCGGGGAATTTACCAATTTTCGCTGTCTGCTTTTGTTTCGATTTCCAAATTTTTTAAACTGCTCAAAGGAAAGCCGTACAAGTATCGGAGGATATGAATTGCGGTTTAACAGTACTTTTCATACGTACCAGGGAAGAATGAAGCTGTGTCGGGTAGCTGGTGAAGTCATATGACTGCCAGGGAATGGTGGTGTAACGATATCGTACCAGTCCCCTCCACTATGTCTGATAATGTCTCTATGTACTTACTCGTGTCATTTTATATCATCTGTATACCCGCTTCCAGTGGTTTACATTATAATTAACAAGGTGAAACATAGGTGTTGATATGTCTGCTTACTGCTCAGCTGGTATGATAACACTGAGCTAGTATCTCCGGGATCAATTCTCACTAATGTTAGGATCGCTTTATTTTACGTTTCTTTGAGCTTGGAGTTGAATTTATCTAACTTGAACGAAAGGGACCGCGGTATTTATTGTTAAAGACCTGTGGAGTAAATAAGTGCTAAAAATTCCATCTCAAGTTGTTACATCCACATTCTTAGGTATTCAAAGGTTCCAATGCTAGACTATAGAATATAGATGGTATCCCCCTTCCAATAGGCTGGTTTTGATTTTTACTTCCTGTGGTTTGAATCAGAACCCAGAAAATTTTCTGAGACGTCTCAATGCATCTACCTTAGCGGGCTTAGGTTTTGCGTGCACTTCACTAGTAAATTCTATCAGAGTATAACTGGATAGTTCGTCAATTAATTTGTCAAACGTTCTCGCTCACGTAATATATCTGGTTGATGGGAATTTCATTAAAATATAACACAGGTTCAAGTGAGCCGACGTTAGACTGTTAACATCAATAGGGCACAGACCACAGGCTCCTCGTTACCCTAGTTAAACATCAGATATTCGCATAAACTGCAATTAATCAGTAACACGGCGCAGTTTGCCAGGTTACAAATAATGAATGAGTCTATGAATACGAGCCCTTACATCATCATCATCCATTGTTCACCTGCAACTCGTCTATAATTTAACCCCATCTGTAACTCGTCTATTTAACCCCATCTGCAACCCCTGATCTCGATAAATTGTATGCGTTTCGTCAATATAATTTGTCTTCTCTCCAGTTTCCGCACCGTATCTCCTCCTCCTAACTTGAGATTACTTGGCAATTGAACAGATCTGTGGCGGTAAAATAAGTTGACATACAATAGCTTTTGTTTAAGAACTGTCAGGGCTTTCCTCCTCCAATCGGTTGACACTTCTAATTCATTTAGAATTACGGGGATAACTATTTCGCGGTATAATTTATTTTTGAAAAGAGTTGGTCAGTTGGAGGCGGCACTACTTAAAATGTGATACCCTTAATCAGCAAACTCTTCTCTGGGTCGCATATTGGACCCACTTTTGTGGGTTCATTAAACCGAATTGTCCCCCTCTCTTCCATAGCTGTTAGCTTGAGGTTAACTAAATTTAGTTGTAATTCTTCTCTTATTAAATACCTATACCCCCGCATTTGATATGAAACGGTCCCTGTTTATAATGCAACGACTGACATTACTATTAATAATCACAAACTCCAGACCAACATAATTATCTAATTAGGGTAATTGAATTAAATAATTAATGGTGATATTTAAATTACCACGGTAGGATGAGTTAACTTGTAGGGCGGATAAATTTTACCCCGCTTCCCCCACTCTCCTGCATTCCCGCTGATAGTCACAGATAAGAGGATCAAATCATGACCTTGTTTGATGCACGCTCCGCGAGTCACATGCTACCGTTCCGTGTCCTGATTGGTCAAGAGATATCACGTGACCGTGAGCTCTGATCTGATTGGCGGGCCCTGGGAATTTGTTACTAAGCTGATTGTCAAACACCCAGCACCCGCGGCCAGTTCGGGCGACAGAACATAGTAACTGTACTTTAAACAGGTTGTAGTATTAATCTGCTGTACTTGTTGGGATGCGTAGTAACTCTCTCTCTCTCAAGCTTTCATTTTAGCTTCCTGGCCAAGGTTTCTTATCTGCTGCTTAGTTTTAAATGTGGGGTTATTAACTGATTAGTTGGCGTTTGTGTCTGATTGATTGAAAAATTGTCTAGAGTGCGGAAGATATTTTGTTAAAGTCGACTGCTCTGAGATATGAAGTTTATTTCTTGACCTGTATTTTAAAGTTTTAGTTCAACCCTTGCTATCAAGCTTTAGTTTATCATCACAGAGTCTCAGCTATTTTCTCAGCTATTTACGGATCAGTTAATTTAATAGGCGCCATTTTGTCTACCAACCCGCTCATGCCGCTTTTTAAAATAGCAAGTTTTTTTGGGTGGTGGTTACCAGATAACTAGGCACCGTTCTAATTTGCGAACAATTCATCTATTATTAACAAGCAAATGTTTCTTGAGATATATCTGATTAGTCCGTTTTTATCTCGGGTGGGAACACAGCCTGTATGATCGGTGTATCCCTGTATCTCCGTTGTTTATCATCCTACAGAGCCAATCTGTGGTAGAGCTGTCATAATTAGAATCTGCGGTGGATTTGATGACCGATGTTCCTTAAAATCTGCGGTCATTAACGTCTGCCCTTCTGGAGAACCACAGTTCTAGCGCACATTATTTTGGTATTTCTCTGCGCTATTTCTAATATGTGGTGTTTCTCTGCGCTTGTTTGGCTGACCCTCAGCACTGCTATCTAGATGTAGTTCCAGTCAACCCTCACAACATTCCCCTACTTTATCATTACCTATTTGACACTTTGAGTCTTTGACTTGCATTTTAAATTTCACATAATAAAGATACCAGACACATATCATCATCACGCCCTGAAATGTCCTATTAATTTCATCACTTAACCCAATTTGTGGCTTCCGTTTTAACGCGTTCAATAATAGGGGCTTCTCAAAGTTTTTAAAAATTCAAATTTCTAAACCTAGAGTTTCATTTGTAGCCGGTTGTATGAAATGAGCGGAGTTCCCTCGACAGTATGTTTTACTTTATCCGGTATTCCCTATCTTATCTTGTAGTCTTGTGCGTCGTAGGATCATCTCAGCAGCAAAACCAGCACCAGTTCATAGAATACGGTAGGTACTTAATCACAATAACACAGTTCATCATTGTGGTTGATAACATGAATATCTCATTACTGTGCAATATTCGTACAATATTCGTACTTAATTTAGATATTTCGTTAAATGCGGTTAGTTGTGTCTGTACTATTTAATTGTGGTGCTTGAACGTGCATCAACGTTCTTGAGAAGGAGAACACAAAGTGCCGCTCCCTGCAAACACCATTATTCAAATAATTCAACTTTCACAACTTAGCTGCCCAACAAACATGCACATAATTTTGCCGTGGGAATAAAGCCTATTTGACGGACATGATATGTAAAGTGTAAACAGGAACTGTGCGGTTGGTTGGTGGTCCTTCCTTGTTGTCTTGTTAAGTCTGTGTCAATATGGTGTTTGTTTTAAACTATTTGTATATATACGTAGTTTTCTTATTTACGCTTCTTTTGTTAAACTAAGTAAAAAGGTTATTTTACTAAATTCCGTTATTTTCAGCTGCCACTGTAGCGAAATTCCAAGCAAGCGAGTACATCAAATACACGGCTCAAGATGACCCGATCGTCTCAAAGTACGATTCCCTCTCATTCAGGATCAAGGTAAGGGTACCCGATTATGTAATAACATTCTCCACTCTTCACAGTTTGTGGTAATTATTTTTAATTTTATGCAAATTTCCGGGGAACCGAGTCTAATGACGCTCTTCTTATGACAGTTTGCTTTCTTTGACGGGTTGATTGATCAATGATCAATGATCGGCAACCTTTGCTCTGCCCCTTTTCTGCTTATTAAAGGCAAACTGGTCTAAGTCTGCATTTGTATCATTTTAAGACAAACTTCCGATTTTGTCGATTGCATTATAACCATTTTTAAAATGACATTCAAATATGCATTAACCGGTAGCAAATTATAAAATCCCTTCTGCTTACGGTCCATTCTAATTTTAATACCACCCCAGTTTAATAAAATCATCCTGCCCAACTCCCGATACATCAATCCTTTGATCCTGTTTAAAAGTGTAGCCATAGTTTCTAAATAAATTAAATCTAAAAATTTAAACTCTTTCAGACATCCAGGACGGACGGACTTGTTTTCTACTACAAGACAGATAACTTCTTTATGTCGGTGGAGGTAGTGGAAACAGAATTGAGTCTCAACGTGGGATTCGGTACCAGTCAGCAACTCATTTCCCTTGAGGACAACTTCTTCATCTGTGAGTGCCGCGAACTGCATTCCGGCAGTGCATACACGCGCAGTTTTAAATAAAGTTCATTGCGTGAATATCTCTTTAAAGCCGGAGCCCGGAATAAAGCGGAAATCTTTCTGAATTAAGTACTTTCTGTCGTACGGGAGCTGTCACAGTTCTGATAAAGCTATTATGTTTTGCTGTAGCTCCAAACTTCCAAAGTTCCCTAAATTGAGCTGCAAATAGGGATTGGCGGTTCCCTGAAGAGCTTTAACTTTCCGTCGTACTGGCATCAACACTTCACTTATACTAGAAATTTTAAAATTTTCGCAAATCAAAAATGACGAATGTCAGTAACTCAATAAATTCGTCCCAAAAGTTTCCTAATCGATTATCTGTCTTCGTAGCTGCCCAAACTAATCCTGCAAACATAATCCTGCAAACATCTAACAATATCTTCACTACAGGTGATAACGAGTGGCACACAGTTCACATCGGCAGATACGAGTCCTTCATAACCCTGGAGATAGACGGCTCCCAGATATCAGCTCAACTTGCTAACCCCACCCCTGTCAGATACAACAAGGACATCTTCATCGGAGGTAACAGCAGACACACCCACACATTTCTCTTTGTTATACAGCTGTTTTAAACAGGGTTTTAATGCGTCATTAATGTGTGAAGCTTGTTGGTATCACTGTATCAGGCTATTGTCTTCAACATGCTTTAATCTTTAGCACGCTAGATTAAGATTTAAGATAAGAGGGCCAGAGTGTATGTATAATGTATCCCCGTACAGAATCTGACATAGTTATAAACTAGCTATATAAACTAGTTATAAACTAGCTATAAACTAGTTATAAACTAGCTATACACAAGCAAAACTAGTTATAAACTAGAATCTGACACGATGCCCCCTTTCTAGGTGGAGAGAGTTTGACTCAGCTGGACGGTGTAAGAAGTCAGCTGAACTTTGTTGGATGTCTCCAACAACTCACATTCAACAAGATGAAGATGCTCAAGGATGCTAAGGCTGATGGTTTGGGGTACTCTGTTCATGGTAGACTCGACTGGATGTGCAGTAATATTCAGTGAGTTGTTAAACAGATTTTTTATCTTGCTGTACTTCACTTTTCTCTCCTTACTTTTCCCACGGAGCTGCCATTTAATTAAGACTCGTCTTATTTTCCCCAGTAATATTTCGTGCTGTAACACATTCTTTATTTTGTCATTATCTTTACTATAATCACCACAGTAATTGTTTGATAATATATCATTACTCATCCTGTAAATGTCATGAAGGTAATAGGGCACAATGCTAGTAACATCTACTTTCGACACGTTTCTCACCAATCTCATCTACAATTACAATGTGTCCGGAGCAGGCGGATGTCAGCCTGCTCCACAGAGCAATATTTGGGCTATTTTAGTCAGACACAAAGATTGTACAGCAGCTGTAATCGAGTAATCCACATTCCGGGGGGGGGGGCCAATGGCATAAATGGAGAAAATGGAGAATTACTCATGGGTTTTTCCATTTTCTCCATAGAAATAGTCTCCATTTTATGCCATTTTATGCCATTTTATGCCATGGAAAACCTGAAAAATTTAGAATTTCGAGAAAAATTATTTAAAAAAAAGATATTTTCGGCCAATAATGAACAGAGTATCATGAAACATAGAGAAAAGTGGTTTTCAGAAAAACTTTGAAAAATGTTGACTTAGAAAATGTTCGGTCCGAGTCATTTACGAAACGTACCTCCCGTATCGAGAGCTCCCGATTCCGAGCTCGTGTTGCAAAGGGGAGGCCTGCCTTCCGAGATCGCATTACCTCGAGTCCAAAATTGTGTATCGAGGGGAAGGTGTGGACTTCGAAAAACCGAAAAAATATTTTCGGCCAATAATGAACAGAGTATCATGAAACATGGAGAAAAGTGGTTTTCAGAAAAACTTTGAAAAATGTTGACTTAGAAAATGTTCGGTCCGAGTCTTTTACGAAACGTACCTCCCGTATCGAGAGCTCCCGATTCCGAGCTCGTGTTGCAAAGGGGAGGCCTGCCTTCCGAGATCGCATTACCTCGAGTCCAAAATTGTGTATCGAGGGGAAGGTGTGGACTTCGAAAAACCGAAAAAATATTTTCGGCCAATAATGAACAGAGTATCATGAAACATGGAGAAAAGTGGTTTTCAGAAAAACTTTGAAAAATGTTGACTTAGAAAATGTTCGGTCCGAGTCATTTTCGATACGTACCTCCCGTATCGAGAGCTCCCGATTCCGAGCTCGTGTTGCAAAGGGGAGGCCTGCCTTCCGAGATCGCATTACCTCGAGTCCAAAATTGTGTATCGAGGGGAAGGTGTGGACTTCGAAAAACCGAAAAAATATTTTCGCAAATAATGAACAGAGTAGCATGAAACGTGGAGAAAAGCGGTTTTCAGAAAAAATTTGAAAAATTTTGACCGAAAAAATATTTTCGGCTTATAATGAACAAGGTAGCATGAAACGTGGAGAAAACTGTTTTTCAGAAAAACTTTGAAAAATTTTGACTTAGAAAATTACCCCTCGCTCGGTACACAATTTTGGACTCGAGGCTTCCCCCTGGTAATGCGATCTCGGAAGGCAGGCCTCCCCTTTGCAACACGAGCTCGGAATCGGGAGCTCTCGATACGAGAGGTACGTATCGAGAATGACTCGGGCCGAAAATTTTCTAAGTCAAAATTTTTCAAAGTTTTTCTAAAAACAACTTTTCTCCACGTTTCATGCTACCCTCTTCATTATAAGCCGAAAATATTTTTTTGGTTTTTCGGTTTATCAAAGTCTGCACCTACCCCTCGATACACAAATTTGGACTCGAGGCTTCCCCCTGGTAATGCGATCTCGGAAGGCAGGGCTCCCCTTTGCAGTGCGAGCTTGTTTCGACTTTCGAGGATGTAGGTCTCACTTCTCAGTGTCTATTACTCTCCCCTATTACTCACTCCTGCTGTAGCCTGTAGAAATAACTTTACACTAGGCTTGAGTAATTATGAGTTTGCCTGAAGTGTGCCTCTACTAACCTAGTATAAGCATCTAGTAGCCTACTATGAGCTTTCATAAGCTTGTTACGCCCCTAGTAAGCGTAAATAAACATGTAAGGATGTCCAATTTAGGTGTTAAATGGTGTTAAAGATGAAATTTCGAAGACAAAATTCATGGCATAAAATGGAGAAAATGGAGAATTACTCATGGGTTTTTCCATTTTCTCCATAGAAAAAGTCTCCATTTTATGCCATTTTATGCCATTTTATGCCATTGGCCCCCCCCCCCCCCCCCCACATTCCACATATCCTGAAACGCGCCACAATTCGTGTACAATGTACAGTGGACTAAGGCATGCACATTTGCACTAACTCAATGCATTTGTGCCCTTGTTCACTCAAGATGCCATCTGTTCAATCACGTGATACAGTCTGAGCTCCCTCATTGGTTTGTGGACTCCTAAAAGAATGCGACAGGCTTACTAAATCCCATGTTCACTGGATTAAGTCCAGATTTTGAGCGAGCCACGCCTAGACAGTTATTCCCACAGTCCCACTATAAAGATCACCGCATCATAATTACATAATCCATTGGCAAACTGTCACAACTTTACACAATGACGTCATAATCGCTCTTAATAACGTCATAACCTCAGGTACGTCCCCGTGACATTCGGCTCATCAGAGTCTAAGTTAGAGTTGGATCAGTGGATGTTGAACAGAGGGCTATCTCTGCAGTTCAAAACTTCATACCCTGATGGTATTATAGCGTTTACTGGCACCGAATCAACTTATCTTTCCTTGGAACTTATCGAGGGGAGCCTTGTCTTTACCGCTCAGAAAAGTGAGTTTTAATTCCAGAATGCACCATTTTAGTATTATTTTGCACTTACAAAGTTACAATGAAATATTCTTCTCTCAGTTCATCACTATAATGTTAATTAGGTTTATTTTATTAGGTTTATTTCATTAAAACTTAAGTTAACGAACAACCCCATCTCAGACGGAGAGAAAACCACAGCACAAGTAGGCTCCAACCTAGCTGACAGTAACTGGCACAGTCTAACAGCCCGGTACGACACCACCACCATCACGCTCCACATCTACGGGGATGTTGGAGACGTTCAGGAGGATTCAGCTCGCTTCAGGGTCCAGGGAGACTTCAACATTAGATCGGTACGTGTTTGCTCTTTGTTGTTGGTGATTCTTGTGTAGATCTTGTGATCTGATTGAAAAGTAACAAAGTAAAGGATTTTTGTCTTGTTTACTTTGAGTATTAGATGTTCTTTGACCTTTCTAAAAATAACTATGAGTGCATGCACAAATCTGTAACAATTTGTAGCGGGATTACAACAGTTTTGCTTTACAGCGAAGCTAAAGATTAACAATTGTTACCTCCCTCAGCCCCTTATGCTTGGAGCAGCTGACGAGAGTAGCCCCCTCTTCAAGTCTGGGTACCGGGGTTGTATCCGAGGCTTCTCCATCCAACAAGAAGTGATAGACCTCTACACCAAGCTGGTAACCCAGCCTCCTGGAGTGGTGGCAGGATGTGGTAGTCTGGATGAAGCGTGCTCCATACAGCCGTGTTACCATGGTTCCGTGTGTAATCAGGAGATGAATAGCTTCACGTGTGATTGTACGGGGACGGGGTATGAAGGGACTGTGTGCTCGGAGGAGGCTAAACCTCTCACTTTCTCTGGAGATCAGTATTTGAGACAGCTTACTAGCTTCCCTGAACCTAAGAGAGTGAGTTTTATGTAAAACAATTGTTTTTTCTGTTTTTGTTTATTTTCATATGTTATTTAATTGTTATTTGTGATGGTTCAATGTTCATATCAAATAAACGCTCATTTGAACGACATTTTGTTTTCAGGAGCGAGATTCTATTTCGTTGAGGTTTAGAACTCAAGCAGAGAATGGCCTGATAATGTTTGTCACAACCGACACTTACAATGACAAATACATGTACTTTGAGATTCTTGAGAGTAAACTTTACGTGATAGTCCACTACGGAATTCAGAAGTTCTTCAGACTAGAACCAATAGTTTCTGATGGCAGATGGCATGTTATCGTCTTCAACAGAGTCGGAAATAAGATTACTCTTCGCCTTGACAACACTGAAGACCAGTTCACATTCGTAAGTATTTTCGTTTTTATATACGTATGCATTTAATGGAATTGTGCGTTTCCTTGCTGTTGACTTTATAATTCTTCCTCCTTCATTTCTTGAGGCATGTGGCATACCAAGGGTAGTCGAAAATCAATTACTGTAGACAAAGAAACTATACAACAAATAGAATCTCTAATACCCATAATATTTAAATGTTAATTGCTAACCTCCGGATTTACGAATTCTGTACCAATTCTAACCCTCGCACACCCTCAGAGAGACCCAGTAGAATTCCCCTACCGGTACGCTTATCTTGGCAAAGCACCTGAAAACGAGTGGCGTAATGTTATGCGTATGACCAAATCCCGCCAAGCTTTCGACGGTTGTCTCCAGCAAGTGAAGTTCAACGGTAACGATCTTATCACGTTGATGGGGGCCGCTAACATTTTCACCAACGCCAGACAAGGCTGCAAATTCCAGGTAGGAATATAATGAAGGTCTCTTGAGGAGTTTGCTGATAATTAAGTGCACGTGCAATTATAACGGCTGTAACGGGATGATAATTAAGTGCACGTGCAATTATAACGGCTGTAACGGGACCTGGTGGGAACAGGGAAACAGCTGTAGGTTTATAATTTAACCTTTCCCTACTCCAGGAGACAACAGACCAACAAGTTGCAGCGTTTATCCGGTCCACCTACCTAGGACTGCCACCATGGGCCGCCACCAACACCTCCTCTGTCCTCAAGTTCAACTTCAGAACCAGGGAGAGCAGTAGTCTCATCCTCTTCCACGGTGATGTGGAGGCAGATTACGTGGCTATTGTGCTGGAGGGAGGAGTCCTCAAGACTACCCTGCAAATCGGTTAGTTACCCTTCTTTCATTTTTGGAAACATTTCCACTTGTACTGTGTTAGTTAGAGCGTATTGTGCTGGAATTCAGCTGTAAATTCCTATCCGTATTTGTCGAGGCATTTGTGAGTAGATTGTTAAACATGAAGCTCGAGGAGTAGAAGCTTGAGGAGTAGAAGAGTTAATAACTTTGTCAACTTCTCAGTTATAAAACTTTCTCTCTGTCATGCTCTGAAATTATATGTTTTCTTCTGTCTTATCATCTCTCCAAAATCTCGAAACCCGTGTCCAATCACACTTTTAACACCCCATAATATTTATATACGTTTGACGTTTTGATTCAATAAAATGGGGGTTCATTTTCTAGAGAGAAAGTTACAGAATTTCAAAGGTTTCGTCGTGAAGATTAAATTCATTGGTGGGAGCCAACAGCTTTCACGCAAATCTAATGCCCTTCGACGAGCCACTGATCCCATGATTTGTAAAGGACATAACCCTCGGACACATTATTGGGCAATCTGGGTAGCCAAAGCATAATTTAATCCTCGTTTAACAAATTTCGATGAAATTGAAAGTATTTCGCTGATAATTGTGGGGAAGCTGTTGGCCTGAGTAGGGTGATACGTGCGTTCATTGGTTTTTAATTTGCGTCTGAGGGTAATATTCTTATCAGTTAGGTTCATGTCTGGGAGCATTAGCAGTTCCAAGGGGTGGGTGGTGGTGTTCAATTGTCTGGCCGTTTGTATCCGTCTTTACGCTCGACGGAGCGTCCTTTGTAAAAAACATACAAAATGTTATATTATTAGGGATAATTAAGATAATCGTAAGGAATTAAAGGATTAAAGCGGCTTACAATTAAATCAATTATAAAACTAAGATGAAGCGACGCTGTAGGGTTGTAGCTATGAGTTGGGACAAGTCTCAAATACCTACACACTTAATATATTATATAGAATTTTCAAACTCCAGTCACGCGATGTCGGTCGAAAATGCTTAGTCACGAAAAGAGAAAATTTTTCATAAAACTATGAAATTAAAACTTTTTTCTATTAAACTTAAAGATCCTAATTCTTTAAGTTAACCTTGTTTCTCGGCTCAGGTGACGGCTCAAGGACGGTCTCTGCTCTAATGCCAGGACTGAACGATAACATGTGGCACAGTGTCTTACTAGAGATCACCTCTCAGATCTTTATCCTTGAAGTGGATGAAATGCCCATGCAACAACCGCTCAGCGAGTCCAACTTTGATTTTACCGGTGAGAATGAACTTCAGGTTTTATTTAAGCTTGTTATAATGATTATCATCTGCTTGCTTGTAATTTTAAAATCATGCTTATGTTTCTCTTAACGACATTAAAAATTTACCAATCCGTTTTTTTCAGGTGGTCTGTACATCGGTGGAATACCTGAAAACGTGAACTCTTCTCTGCTACCGTACGGCATGCAAGCAAATCCGTACTTCCTTGGCTGTGTCAAGGCCCTTATTGTAAACGATGTGATCCAGGATTTATTGCAAGCTGGAAACGGAAAATCAGGTGGGTTTTAGTGAACTTTCCGAGTAAATATGTTGAAACATATTTCCAGTCTCGAACTGTTGGATGTCACGGTTGGTTGGTTAATCTATTTAATAACCCTGTGACGTTTATGAGAGCCAGAAAATTATGCGTCATATTTTAAAACGGAAAACCCTTTAGTCATAGCTAGAAATGGCCCTACAACTACCTTACCGTTTCGAAAACGTCGATTTTACAATTAATTTTCAACTTCCGAGATTTGGAAACTCGATTGATTTTAAACAATTGTCCGTTAAAAAGTGATTAGAGGTTTAAATATGCGGTCACATACTATTCAAGTTTGACTATCCAAACAAATTACTGACCCTTGTCTCCTCCTCCAGGTGTCAGGTCGGAATGTGAGGGAACGTGTGCCGCCTACCCCTGTCAAAACGGTGGCAGCTGCCGGCAAATGGAAAACCAGTTCGACTGTCTCTGTTCTGGATCTTTCTTCAAGGGAAAAACTTGCTCAGAAGGTGAGAATAACTTGAGTATATTACTAAAATCAGCGACTTAGCTTTTAGAATGTAACAGCGATCTGTTCTTTAGTGCTCAGTGTGAGCACTAGATACAACTTGCATATTAGAGGTCGCTTACTTTAAGTGGCCGATATTTCGAGCGTCGCCACATTGCCACAATCCGTTGCGTAATGCTTGACAAGAGCTTGAGAGTTACATATATATTATATATCGTGTGTAATTTATGTGTAAAAGCGTAATATCTAAATTTATCTCCAGAAATGTCGAAAGTACGATTCACGCCTGGCAGTTCACTGAGTTATACACTTTACGAGCACAAGACTACTATCCGAGATGATCTCCACATCAAGTTTAAAACCACCGACTCTTTCGGGGGGCTGACTCAGATTGAAACGGGAGACCCGAACCAGTTTATCAAAGTCGTCATCAAAGATACGGTTAGTGTTTGACTGAGTGTTATTACAGAGCTAGTAATTGTTATTACTTAATCCTCGACCTATTATGTTTATGTCTCTAGACCCTAACTAAACGGTACAACCTTGTACTGTACAGTCACCGTCTGTTGCGCAATCTCCAACTAGAAACTTGCACTCTGATCATCACATAATACTATCCCCTGTTTAGTAGTACCTAGAGCTGTATGTTGCCCTGTATTGCCTCCTGGTATTGCTAGCCTCTAATTAGTGAGCAATATAATTTGTCAGAACATCACTTTGTGTGATTACTTTTATCATCCATTTACTCCAGACCCTAAGCTTAGCTCCAACACGATCCACCCCCACACAGGCACAGACCAATTGCCCCTCTGACGACCTGTAACATCACGCCAATTAAAACCCGGTTCCCTTGGCTCCGTGAAAAAACGTAGGCTTTGTTCTAACCGAGATTCGAATAAACTAAATATTTCAAATATTTCAGTTCCTGGAATTGACCATGAATATCGGACAAGAGCGGGTGTTTGCAAGATCCCCGTCCCCTGTTAACGACGACACACCACACACCCTTAGCTTCTGGAGACGTAACACGGCAGTTTCCTATTCCTTTGACGGCGGAGAAATAACCAGATCCTCACTGAACTCTGTGGGAAGCCTGGAGTTTGGAGTGATAATGAACATCCGGCTCAGCTTCCCCTACAACAGCATGCAGTTTAGCGGGTGTATCCTAGGGTTTGACTATAACGGGATAACTCCCCTGGAGGATACTAATCTTCCCAACATTGTGAAATCTCCTGGGATTGTGGAGGGAACGTGCGATATAACACCCCCTACTACATCTAAACCTATTGTCACCGAGGGTAACCCTGATCCTGATCCAGAGGATCCAGATAAAGGTGGTAATGATACTGATAATCCAGATGATCCTGATGAGAATGGTAATGAGGTGGATCCTGATAGTAAAACCACAGCTCCAAAACCAATATCAGACAATAACTCTACCCAACAGACTCAAGTTAAGAGCAAATCAAGTCTCGGGCTTCCTTTCATACTCCTGATAGCGGCTGGCGGCTTCATATGTATACTGTTAGTTGTATACGGTGTAAGCCGGTTTGCCAGGCGGCGTCAGGGCGTTTATAAGACAAACGAGGACAAGAGAGTTGAGGATCAACAGAGAATTGAGTATGATAAACTTACCATGCATGAGGAGGCTTTCGAACTGCCATCAAAACGAGAGTTATACATGTGACTGTGATAATAGGTCGTCAGATTTAGTTGAGAAGTCTCAAATTGTTCAAGTCACAGCATAGGATAAGGGTAGTTTCGCGTCGTGGCGTATTGGGGGTTGTTGTGGACCCCAGGGTGAGGGTGAAATTGTTTGGGGGAAGAGAAATATAAAGACGCTGAATTTATTAACCCCGGAGAGGTAATTGATTGATCGATATAACGCAAGTTTATTGAAGTATTTTTGTTTTTGTTTAATTTTTATTTGAGTTAATATGGTGCGTTAGTTCAGATGATTTTATAAACACCATGCAGCTCAATCCGTTCGAACATTTTAGTTTCAATTCCAGTACAGAAGATGAGGATCAACTTGAGCTCAAATCCGTTGCTTCACTTTTTTGTTTTAATCATATCTTGAAATTTACATAATATATATATATAGATGTTTACACGTTTTACATGTTATATAACAAAGTTTTATCAAGGCTTGTACTCAGATGTTGAAGATGCATTCGTTCTAAATTGTGTTCGAAATTTGACAAAGTCATATGTAATTTTTTATCGGATTTGTGATATTTTATTATTTCGCTTGGTCGACATAATTGTTGCCGATTTGTTAGTTTATATTCTATATATTCATAGATTTCTTATTAGTAGAGTTTTCAAACTGAGTACAAACGTCTAGCGCAAGATTAAGTGGCACTTTTCATTTTATCGATAAATCGAGAGATAAATTATTGCAAAACCTTTGGCACCTGAGGTTAATTTTTTGAATACCATATCAGTAAATGTAATGAGCGTGGTGTTTAGTAATTTATTATTTATAAGCTGAATCAGCTCACTTCAACGTTAAATTCTACAAAATGTAAACCGTTAGCGAACAAAACTCCTCAAAAGCAGAGCAAATCATGACATGGTTTACATTTTGTGAAGCCATTACGATCAATACAGTGTCAAACAGCTTTTTGTACATAGACTTCATTTATATGTTTTATTTTTAAAAATTGACTAACAAAATTGTAGTGTTTTATTTCTATACCAAGTTGACATCAGAATCAAGAATGACATGTAACTATTACTAAGATCAGATGCAAACTGGGGAACGGTTTCTCTATACAGAGCTACGAATAAACATACTGATTATTTCGTTGTACTTGTAGTTGTAGGGGTTCCTGGCGAAATGCCAGAGGTGCATACAGCTTGTCATACGTTGTATGACCCGCCGCAAACGAGTGCGCGGTTCCCCCTGTATCGTAGATACGCTACACTTATAGTGAAACGACCGTGGGGGTCGCTACGTGATACAAGCCGGATCGTGACAAATATGATAGTTTGCGTTATAAAATTGAACTCCACTGGCACTATGCACTTCGCACTTGCTCAATAACGTTGCCTGACCTGACACACGCGTGTCTCCTCGATCCTGGGGATCCCGGATAGGCCGGTTGAATTCTCATTGATACATGTTGTATAGTGTATATGGTATACCTCTTTTCGCGCGCGAAAAGAGGTATACAAATATTAAGACTGTCATTACTGGGCCGCGCTCAGCCTGTCATTCCGCCAAATCTTTATTCGTCACCTAAAACTGAAACGTACTGCTGTCTGTTAGATAGGTAACTTTCAATAAGCTCGTTTGCGTTACCTCTTATACCATATTTGTCAAGTTTTATGAGAAGTTTATCGTGACTGATATAGTGTCAAATGCCTTTGATAAGTCATAACATATGATGGGAGTACAGTGTATTGGCTATGCCTTACCTGGGGACCTCAGGCTATCATGTTCATTAACAATGAATGACAGGCTGAGCGCGGCCCAGTAAGTTGACGGATGTTACTCGTCTAAATTTCTTCGAAGTAGCGCGCGCGCCGGGCCAGATCATTAACAATGGTCAACCCAGTAAGCTATGCCCCGCTTACTAGTTTAGCTCTTTCTAGTCCCCGGCATGTAAACAAGGATTGGCTAGTTAGAGGCGGTCCGTGTAGGCCTTACACTGTGCTTTCAGCAATACTCATATAGCTAATTTATTTATTAACGGGTGATTCACATAGCCATGTGTCTACGCGTACTGCGTGACGCGCTTGTTTCACAAGTAGAATCTTTGCCGCCTTCGGTGGTCGCGCGCTACTCAAGAAAACAACAATTTCAAGAAAACAACAATTTTATTTAGTATCAATTAAAGCAGACAAAAATATATTTCATATATATATAACTAGCACGAACTTTAGATCAGATATCTTAGGGGACTTGGAGTAGCAAGAGATTGACTATAAGGTATATAACTTTTACAACGATACGTCGAGAAGAATCCAGGGTGATACAGGATCGGAGAGTGCAGACCAAAAGTTTACGCACCCACCTTTGCCTCCTGAGTTCTTGGTTGGATAGAAATTTATGCAAACTTGGTCGTTTATACTCCAAGTCCCTTTCTTAAAAGAAGTAGTATTAACTATGTCTAGAGTTAGCTTCGTTCAATAATAACAATATCAATATAATCAATATCAATACCAGATAAACCTACCGAATAAATAATTAAATGTCAATTAATTCATTCCGATAAAAAATTTTATAAATTTAGATATTTAACTTATCTAAAAACATTACAACAAATGGTTAAAAAGCGCCTAAAATCAATTTGAAAGATTTTCTGTCTATAGTACAATCATGATAGTAATAGTAAGTGTGTGCCGCTGCAATTAGATTTTATTACTGCAATTTAAAATTGTTTGGAGTCCAAGTATCCTTTAAGTCAGCTGCCTGCGCTTGTATTAATAGTGCTTTGGTTCTCAGTTTTATTAAGCTAATGGACGTTTCTAAGCAATTGCTTGAAGTTAATTTTTTTTTAATGCCCTCTCGCTACTTAGCCCTCTCGCTACTGCAAGCGAGAGGGCTCTGGTTAGAGCAAGGCTCTGGTTAGAGCAAAACGGGTGATACTTGTAAAATATTCAATATTTGTTCCATATATCATGGACTGTCGGCGAGTCCAACTCGGCGCGCGTCCTAGTAGGTTAGAAACCTACAAATTTATTCATTATTATTTATCGTCTGTCGTTATTACCTGGGGACCTCAGGCTATCATGTTCATAAACATAAAGATTAGGCGGAATGACAGGCTGAGCGAGGCCCAGGAACGGTCGTTATTGATCATGATATCAATAAATACATCTATCAACTACAAACTATTGAGCCGCGCACGCTGCTCATTTGTATTTTATAATCCTTATCGGTAACAAAACTAAAACAGAACTTTCGTTGGTGGTTCTCACATTAATTTTTTTGTATTAAATCTGTACTATTATGAATGATGAATGATTTTTTTACTTCGCGCTATGTATAATATTTTCGATTGTGTTAATGGTTAATGAAAAATTAACAATTAAGCTTGAGATCTTTAAGGTAAAGTACACTACAATGTTAATGTACCAAAGATTACCCTTGCAAGTGATAGTTTCGAAATCTCTTTATTGGGACTCATTCAAGAATTTGATAATCAGTTTTCGTAAACGGATATGGGATAGTATATTTTATATTGGTACCAGATACAAGGTATCTGGTACGGAGAGAAGGAGTCGGTGTTGTACTGTCCAAAAAGATGAAGAATACTCTCATATCATACACCCCTGTATCAGAACGGGTTATGACTGCCCGTTTACATAGCAAACACATCAACATTAGTGTTACAGTGGTATATGCTCCAACTAAACTGAGGATGCAGGGATCAGTTTAAAAGATTGTAGCGCGATGCGTTACTGTGCCGCGCCGCGCACTTAATAAGGCTTCTCACAGCCTGGCTAGATCGGCAAAATGCGCTACTGTGCCGCGCCGAGCTGCCATGAATTGACATCGTCAATTAATTTAAAAGACTCATTCTACAAGGAATTGAATGATGTTCAATCGGGACTACCTGCTCATGATATAAAAATAGTTTTAGGAGATTTTAATGCTCGTGTTGGAAGGGACACTGATGCTCACCCTGGTGTTATAGGAAAACACTCATATCACACAGAATCCAATGATAACGGAAAACGGATGCTAGATTTCTGTACTATGCACCAGCTGACGATCGGAGGCATACTTTTTTAACACAAGGATATCCACAAGACAACATGGAGATCCCCAAATGGTAACACCGTCACTCAAATTGACCATATTTGTATTTCAACGAGATGGAGCCATTCATTGCTTGATGTCAGGAGCATGAGAGGAGCAGATATAAATACTACTCACTACCTGGTAAGAGGATATGTATCTATTAAGCTTAAGTGTCCACAGAAAAGATTACCTGGGGACCTCAGGCTATTATGTTCATAAACATAGAATAGAGATTAGGCGGAATGACAGGCTGAGCGCGGCCCAGTAAAGAAAAGAAAGAAGCGTGTAAGACAGCCTGCTTTACAGAACTTGCGTGATAGATCTAAGAGCCAGGAATATAGTAACAAAATAGCTGAAAAATACTATACCAACGATCAGGAGCTTGGAAACTCTCCTTTAGAAGAACAATGGAAGAAATTGAGAGACATTATAACTGATATCTCGTTTGAAGTTCTGGGTGAAAGGGGCCGGAAAAAGAGAACAGAACATCTCTCAAAGGATACTAAGAATCTCCTAAAAGAACGAGGTGAGATTAAAAAGAAACCTAGTACTGCTGAGAATCGTGCTAAGTACTCGCAGATTAACGGTCTTGTTAGGCAGAACTGTAAAAGAGATGATAATGCCTGGGCTGTTAGAGTAGCTGAGGAATTGGAAGAGGCTGCCAAGCAGGGTCAACAAAGAGATGTTTGGCAGAAAATAAAATCCCTTACAAACAAGAGAGTAAACAGATCTGCGGCAGTGCGGGATAAGAATGGGACACTTATATCAGATCCCGAAGCTCAGTCACATCACTGGGCCGAATATTTTGAAGAACTCTTGACGCCAGCAGCAGATGCGGTGGATTTCTCTCTATTGGATGAGGACGAAAAGGTACTTTCTTTTGAATATCTTAGTAATGATGATGAGCCACCGTCCTTGTTTGAAATTGAGGAAGCTATCAAGAAGTTGAAGAACTACAAAAGTGCTGGAATTGATGAAATTTCAAATGAGCAGTTAAAGTAAGGTTCTCCTGGACTTCTGCCTTGGTTAAAAGATTTGTTTGAAACTGTATGGAAAAGTGAGGATATTCCTAGTGATTGGAGGAAAGGAATCATCACCATCATCCCAAAGAAAGGGGACCTCACATATTGCAACAACAACAGAGGGATAACTCTACGCTCCACCGTATCGAAGTTATTTCAAATCGTGTTGTTAAAAAGACTAAGTAATGGGCTTGAAAAGTTACTTAGAGAAAATCAGTGTGGTTTCAGGAGAAACCGTTCTTGTATAGATCAGCTATACTCCCTTCATTGTATAATACACAATTGTATAGAATTCAACGTCCCTCTGTATATAAACTTTATTGATTTTAAAGCTGCTTTTGATTCAATCAATCGTGACTTTATTTGGAAAGCTTTTGAACATTATGGTCTTCCAACAAAATACATCAATGTTTTCAAAGCGTTCTTTAGAGCAACTGAAAGTGCAGTTCGTGTCAATGGGGAATTGACAAGATGGTTTGATGTCGATTCGGGGACTGGACAAGGTGATGTGCAAGGGCCTCCCATTTTCAACCTTGTACTTAACTGGGGATTAGAACTTGCCGAGAAGTTTTAAAATATATCGCGTGGTTTTACTCTTCAGTACAGACAAAGTTCCAGACAACCGGAAAAATGTGTCATTGATTTGGACTATGCTGATGACATAGCAGGCATGGATGACACTGTCGAGGGACTGCAAGAAACAACGGACAATATTGCGAAATACTGTGGGCTTGGGGGTTTAAAGATGAACGCAAAGAAAACAGAGATCATGGTAATTGGGAAAGATACGTCGCAGCACCCACTCCCAGAGAATAGGACCATAGATATTACTGTCGATGGAAACTCTGCAAAGCAGGTCACTCAATTTACTTATTTGGGTGCCAAAATTACATCGGATGGCAAGATCGATAAAGAAATAAGTGTCAGGATTGGAAAAGCAACCGGAGCTTTTAACCAACTCAATAACATTTGGAAGAATAAGAACATAAGCATTAACAACAAAGTGCGAATCTACATCGCAGCTGTTCTTACCATTCTGACCTATGGAAGTGAGATATGGAACACGACTCAAGTGCAGACAAGAAGATTAGAGTCTTTCCATCAGTACTGCTTACGCAGAATCCTGAGAGTGAGGTGGTTCCATCGAGTAAGAAATGAAGATGTTTTAAGAAGGGCTTCAATAACTGCTCTTACTGACATAATAACAACAAAACGGCTACGTTGGTTTGGACATGTCAGTAGAATGCCTGAAGATCGGTTACCTAACTATCTACTTGAATGGAAACCCAAGCATGGGAAACGATCAAGAGGCAGGCCTAGGAAGAGCTTAAATGATGTATTTATTGAAGATGCTGAGCAGAGATTGGATCGTAATGGACTCACGATTGATTGTATGAGAAGATTGGCTGCAGATCGAAAAGGATGGAGAAATATTACCCGCCGAAGTTGTATAATACAAAGTAATGACGCAGATGACGCAGACTAATCCTTTTGGATGGAGATCTCGCCATGTATGTATGTATGTATGTAGATACAAGGTAATAATACAGTAGAGGCTGTTACGGGCAAATATCACGCTTTTTGCTCGAGCCCTGGGACTTCTTTTAGGGTTCTTTTATGATAGAATGGAGTGTACTGAACACTCTGACGGTATCGGGAACCTTCTAGAGCCTTCAGAAGCTGTGTTGTGAGCACTTTACTGCCAAAACTTCGGACATCTACAGACACCTAAAATTTTTTCTGAGTTGTTCCCCTAATTTCTCTTAGGTTGCTTAAGCCCCAGAAAGTGTCAGATCGTCTAAATATTGCTCCATTCCAGTGTTAGAGACCTCGAAAATTTCGACCTCATAGAACGTGTTGCGCGTCGTATGTAGTGTTTACAATGAAAAAAGTGCACTTAAATCTGATTCGGTCGCGGCGCGTGACGTATCTAGCACGATATTTGCTCAACAGCGCGTCACTGCGCCAGAAACCTCGTGGTACCGTAACACTGTAGAAAATAGATAATCACGAGAGACACAATAAACGTATAATCACTATGCAAAGTTAATGTTAAAATGATACAATAGCCCTGCTTTAACAGATTAATCCACATTACATAAACACTATATTTCTACAGATGCCACCGATCGGTAAATCGAACATGTTTTTGAAGATAAATCTTCTTACGGAACGATAGCTGATAGAATTCGTTTCTACATTGAAAGATTTCTTACCGACATTGTCTTTCTGAAAACTGATGTGATCAGATTAAACATTGCTGGAGTTTGCAGCGTTCTCAGATAAATTAGACGTCACATAGTCATTGTACTTAAGATTCAGGTCAGACACGAGGTACAGTTCTGGTAAAACATTCTCCTGCTCCAGTTAAAAGGTCCGTACAGCGTCAATACCTGCACTCATTAATGCAGCATTGGTGTTGTCGTGCGTGGACACGTGTCTTTCCATTTTAAAACCTGCCTTAGAGACAGGTTTTAAACTTACAGCTTCAGATAATTTACCCTTCAATTGTTTCACCCTCGAGTTGCTGTACCTCAAACGACACGTTTTGTGATATCTACCTAGCTTGCTATAGAGATATTTTCCGAGACTCTCAGGGTTAAGAACAGGGCACTTGTTCATGTGCGAATCAGGATTAACATCGATGTTGCACAGATCCTGACGATTTCTGTAGATGTCCACAGATAGTATGTTGCGAAATCGACGAAGAAACTTTTATCTTTTCCTTGAATCAGACTATCCTTTTTCGTTTCTAACGTCTAGGGAAATTCGTATTGTTGAAGAAGAATAACCTCATACTCTTAAAATTAAATCGAGATAATATGTATAATAATTATATTTGCGAGCAAAAGTTTCACACAAACCTGTTCAACCTGGCATATGAAACACAAGTCTCAGTCCAGTTCAAACAAATCAACATCTGGTCCACTTGATTGGGAACTAAATGAAGAAAGTCTCCACATTTTCTTAGTTCTATTCAAGGAGGCCGAGGGTGACAAAGGCGGGAATTTTTCCACTTGGATGGCAATAGCTTCTTCAATCTTCATCACAAGAGGATTCGTCAATTTCAGAAACAGCACTGTACACCTGAAAATACTTTATTACTTCCCACATTTTGACATTTATATCAACAGTATCATATCACATAAGTTTGATATCGTACAAGTGTTATTTTTTTAAATCTCAACACTTATTTTACTTCGGACATTCCAACAGCCACATTGTTACACAAGTGTGTAACCAGCCAATTACAGGAAGCCGAAGGATTCAATTATACATTAGGCCAGTGACGGTTAAAGGACCAGTTAACTGAAAAAAAAGTTATCCTCATATTTTGACAGATTGTGACAAATAGCAAACTAAGCAACGAGTCGAAATTCCTAAATCTCTAACTGCTCTCTAACGCGTGTAATTAGCGTTTGTATTATTTTGGCGATGACGTCATAAAGTCCCTTGCGCGCACTGAGTAGCTCGTGAGACTGTATTTTACAGGTAGAAAATGGACATAATACAATGTTTCTCCCCCAAATAACTCGAAAAGTAAGTATTTTAGGGTACATGTTGCTTCATAAGTTGTATATAAACATGGCCATTCTGCACAATTTGCACTCATTCAAAAATCTGTAGGGCCTTCATAGCCCAATTTACGAGATGCCCATATTTTAGCATGATTTCTGGAACCGAAAATCAGTTTTTCGCCAATAACTGAAAAAGTAAGCACTTTAAGGCATATGTTTGATCGTAAGTCATATATTAATATGCTAATTGCGGTTCTTTTGCACCCTGTCTAAAGACTCTATCACGATTCTATCAAAAATGGGCTCAGCACCACGCCCAAAATGGTTTTTGGCAAATTTCTCGAAAAGTAAGGATTTTAGGCCATGTGTTGCTCAGTAACTCCTATATAAACATGCATATGCCGCTTGGTTTAAGCCTATTTAGAAGTCTCTACGACCTTCAGAAGCAAGGGGTCGGTTACGTTGTTGGGTCAATATGGGCGTGGCCCTCCTGGGTTTTCTCCACGGTCAAAAAATGTCTCCAAACGAAAATCGTTTATTCATACCTTCAGGAAGGTCTGTGCAAAGTTTCGTGAGTATTTGAACATTTGCAGGTTCATTTCCATAAATGTCCATAAATGACTGGACTACACAACTTTAGAGTTAACTTTAGAGAAACTCTTAAGTCATTTATCTCAAATTAAGCTGTTAGTGTCCATGATCAACCTGTGGCGACAATGTTTAACGTGAAATGTAAAAATCAGGAGTAATATAAAAAGTGTATTTTTAGATTAAAGTGCTAGCTCATAGTTTTAGAATTGTATAGATTAACGTTGGTCGTTTAGCCATCTAACAATCGATCGTGCCGTAATATATGGCCAGAGAATAATAGGGTCTTGGAAATTCTATAGTTGTTCAGTGGGTCGATTGACTGAACACGTTTGCACTTGGTATTTAAACTTACCAGTAGTTTATTTATGTTATGTACCGATGATAATGCAATTAGGATAACAACTAGGTAAGCCGTAAGTCTAATTCAAAACACACCGCACACCGTACACACCAATCAGTATTACTATTTGGTAGACCGGGTATTTTGGCGGGAATTCTGTTCCCACGGCACTGTTCTGATAGGAGCTACTTCTACTAATAATCCCAGAGGAACGGCCGTAAAGTTTCCAGACTTCTTGTCTCCTGTACTGGCTGACACATGTGGATTAAAGTTAGAAATTCCGCTATGATATAAATATAATTGCTCTCGGAATTGAACAAACTCCTACTTATCTAGATCCTTTCTAAACTCGTTAGAGTTTCATGGACTGGGGAAAAATAATCGGTACAGTCTCCCTGCTTGTGTAATTAAGCAATGAAAACAATCCAAAATTATCACATTATATGACATAAGTTGTAATAGCAGAAACTTTCTAACCGTACATTCACCCGCCACTGTTCAAGAAATTATGTCACTGTTTAAAATCATGAC